TTCCTAATTTGTTTAGATTCACATTTCCTTTGTTGTTTTTCTTCTACTTAAAAGGCAACCTTCAGCATTTATCTATTACTGCTTTACTGGTGGTTAGTTCTTTTAGCTTTTTTATCTGAATGGCAATTATAGTTGACCTTTGAAGAATGTGGGGGTTAGGACCACTGCACAGTAAAAGAATTTGTATATAACTTTTGACTCACCAAAAACTTAACTTCTGAGGCACGTGGGTGGCTCAGTCGTTAAGCATCTGCCTTAGGCTCATGTCATGATCCCAGGGTCCTGGGATTGAGCCCTGCATCGGGCTCCCTGCTTGGCGGGAAGCCTATTTCTCCCTTTCCCACTCCTCCTGCTTGTGTTCCCTCTCTCTCTGTCTCTCTCTCTCTGTCAAATAAATAAATAAAATCTTAAAAAAATACAAAAAAACAAAAACCTTCTAAGAGCCTACTGTTGACTGGAAGTTTTACTGATAACATAGTTAACACATATTTTGCATGTTATAAGTATTATATACTGTGTTCTTTTTTTTTTTTTTAAAGATTTTATTTATTAGACAGAGAGAGAGATAGCGACAGCAGGAACACAAGCAGGGGGAGTGGGAGAGGGAGAAGCAGGCTTCCTGCTGAGCAGGGAGCCCAATGCGGGGCTCAATCCCAGGACCTTGGGATCACGACCCGAGCCGAAGACAGACACTTAACGACTGAGCCACCCAGGCGCCCCTATATACTGTGTTCTTACAATAAAATAAGCTAGAGAAAAAACGTTAAGAAAATCATAAGGAAAAGAAAATACATTTACAGTGCTGTTCTGTATTTATTGAAAAAAAGCTGTGTATAAATGGAGCCATACAGTTCAAACTGGTGTTGTTTACAGGTCAACTATATTTTGCCTTTGCTTTTGAAAGATATTTTAGCTCAGTATAGAATTCTAGGTTAATAGTTTGTTTCTCTTTGTCTTCTTGTTTTCTTTTTTTTTAAAGATTTTATTTATTTAATTGAGAGAGAGACAGAGAGAGAGGGAACACAAACAGGGGGAGTGGCAGAGGGAGAAGCAGGCTTCCCACCGAGCAGGGAGCCCGATGTGGGGCTCGATCCCAGGACCCTGGGATCATGACCTGAGCCGAAGGCAGTTGCTTAACCAACTGAGCCACCCAGGCGCCCCTGTCTTCTTGTTTTCTAACTTGCATTGTTTCCATGAGAAATCTGTTTTCATTTTTATCTTTGAACTCCCTGACTGCTTGTATCATTTTCTCTTTATTGTTGGTTTTTAATGGTAAGCAGTTTGATTGTGATGTGTATTCATGGATTTTTCTTCATGTTTCTTGTGCTTGGGGTTAGTTGATTGGTAGGTTTATTGTTTTTCATCAAATTTTGTAATTTTTTTCTGCTTGTTTCTTATATATTTTTTTTCCATCCTACTTTCCTTTGGGTATTGCAATAACATGTAAATTAGGCTGCTTAACATTGTCCCACAGCTCACTGATGCCCCCTCCCCAAACTCCCTTTTAAATTAAGTCTTCATTCCTTCTGTGCTTCATTTTTGAGAGTTGGCTAAGTAAAAAATTTGTGGCTTTTATGAGACACTTGAATATTACATAATTAAAAAATATTTAGCCAGCATTATTATATTTCATCATGCTGGTGGAAGATAGAGCTGTTGGTTGTTTCTCTTCCCTCTGCCTCTTTCTTCTGAATGTGGATTACAAAGCTTTGTAGAATAATCTAAGGCAGCCATACTTTTGAAAAAAATCTATTTCTTGGTTAGCCTATTATAGAGTCATTTTCAATTCTGAGTCTGATTTAAAATATTTTCAAGTTGGGTGTATTTTTTGCTCCAGTGAATGTTATTTAGTAGGTATATTGGGATTGCGTCTTACCTAAGGACTAATAATTGTAGCTAGCCACAAAACAAAAATCATACATTTTCTAGATATTTGTTTTAAAAGATTCATTAAGTTGCCTGTAAATCACTATATAAACCAAAGTACTTGTTCATTTCCTCAGAGACTCTCAATATGGCCAATATGCCATTTTATCTCTAGTGGAAAAGGGAAAGAAAAAAAAAAACCTCATCAGTCAAGTACCAAATGAAGTAGTTAGTTTGTATTTTATGGGTTAATTTACATGGAAAATGTGTATATATATATATATATTTTTAAAGATTTTATTTATTTATGTGAGAGAGTGAGAATGAGAGAGAG